CCGCTTCACTCTGAAGTCAATGGAAAGATTCCCACTGATTTCAGTGGGAGTTGGATTAGGTGCTATGTTATGAAGGGACGATAGTGATGATAGGAGAAAATTAGGCATGGAAGGCACCTATAGCTTACCTAGTTCTTCCCCCAAGGGACTCTTTGCTAGTAGTTGATCTAGTTAGTTTTTAAATTTCTTGAGCACTTTTTGAGAATGATTATTCCACAGTTTAATATACTATTCAATGGCAAAAACTACATCAAAGCAGAGTTGCGGTTGCTTGGTGCTAGGTCATTCCCTTGCAGAACACTGAGCTGAGCAACACCAGGAAATGCACAGTAAAGATTGCCCATGCAACATTAACTCCGCCCTGCTTCAGCACGGCCCCATTTTCCCTGTTAATATACAGACCTTTACTCTGCCAACCACACAGCTGCTGAAATGTACAAGTTGTTTATTTCCTTTTATAACCCATTCACTCTCACCCATTGCATTCCATCTAACACTAGTAAACACTAGTAAAGGACAAAAAGAAAAAAAAGTTTCCCACTAATCAATTGCTAATACGGGGCAACAGAGTCCATGCAGTTGCCCTGACCATAGCATGAAATTCTCCATTTTTTTAAACTGTGACCATGCCCTGAATTATGCATAATGTTGCCATGACAAAATGTATCCATAACTATGTTACAGTGGAATAGTGTTGGGGTGCACTGGCAGTGCTTTCTCCTTCACCTGAGCTCCCAATCTCATCTCCCCTACCATACATCCCCATTTATCCCTCTTCTCACTGCAGCCCCAAGCCCCTGTCTTCCTATTCCCCCACTCCTCTGCCCCCTAATAACCCTCCCCAGAAGCAATCACATGTCTAATTATTTTCACCCAAAGACTTTGATTATATTCCCCGCAAAATAAAATTGCCACCCATAACTCCAGCCATTGAGTTCAAAACTCGTTTTGCCTTAAACAGAAGCCCCCGGCTAATTTAGCCTTAGTTATGTTATCTGAAGGGGGAGTTCACAGTCAATTAGAAGTCTGTGATTCATCTAAAGAGACAAGATGGGTGAAGTAATATCTTTTATTAGACCAACTTCTGTTGGTAAGAGAGACACACTTTCGAGTTTACACAGAGCTCTTCTTCAGGTCTGGAAAATTCAGGGTTGGTCTACACTAGAGAGTTAGGGCAACTTAAGGCAGCTTATGTCGACCTAGCTATGTCAGTGTTTACACTACAGCCTTGCTCCTGCTGATATAAGAGCCCTACTACAATATTATAATTTCATCTCCATGAGAGACATAGGTTTATGTTGGTGTAGTTAGGACGATGCAGTATCTGTGTAGACGCTGCGTTCCTTACATCGGCTGTTGGCTGTCATTCCCCTGCTGCCTGTCTCCGCTCCAAGCTGGGCTGCCACCCAGGCTTCTGGCTTAGGCTGCCGCCTGGGCTCCCCACTTCCCACAAGGAGCCTTGCTTCCCCTCTGGGTGAGGATTCACCTGCTGGAGGTGAGAAGCCCTGG